CGAGAAGAGCGCCATCCTGCGAGAAGTGGGAGGCGAAGGCAGAGCCCGACGTCGTCTGCTACAGCGTTGGGATCTGGGCAAGCCGCTGCGAGAAGAGGGAAGCACTGCTGGAGCCAAACGTCACCTTCCTAGCCACCACCGTGCGCTGGGAGAAGCGGGAGGCAAAGTTGGAGCCCGATTCTATCTTGCTACACTCGCTAGAAGCAGCGCGTGCGAGAAGTGCAGGGGCCAACGAACGGGCTCCGGCGCGAAATGGCCGGGCACGGACGAGCTACCCTCACTTTCAGTGCAGAGATCAGCCCGTCGTGCGAGAGCAGGAGTGGAGGAAATCCACTCGTGCGAAAAGGGGGAAGCAAGCAGGCAGTGGCAGCGGGGCTGCCCAAGCGTGCGTGCGAGAAGCAGGCAGTGGCAGCGTGCTGCCACGGCGTGTCTCAGTGTCCTGAGGGCGAGCCTCGGAAGATCTCTGGGCGTTTGAATCGGTTGGGGGAAGGGCGACACCCGACCACCAACCGCCTTTTCTGATGCAGCCCCATGTCGCCCAGGAGAGGCCTGGGGGATGGTGCTGTCTCATCGCCGTCGGTCGCGGTCTCTTGCTCATGGCACGGCTGATCAGGATAGCAGAATCCTCATAGCAGAATCCTCCTCCTCCTCCTCATTCTCCTCCTCGTCCTCGTCCTTGTCCACGTCCTCGTCCTCGTCTTCGTCCTCGTCCTCGTCCTCGTCCTCGTCCTCCTCCACCTCCCTCTGCCTTATCCTTCCCCTCCACTCCTGGCTCCTCCTCCTTCTCCTTGTCCTCCCTCTTCTCCTCCTCCTCCTCCTCCTCATCCTCCTCGTCTTTCTCCTCCTCCGTCTCCTCCTGAGCCAGCCGCTCGTCTCGTCAGCGCTGCGGCCCGGCCGCGTCCGCCCGCATCATCCGCGTCTTCGGCCCCTCAGCTCCTCGTCCTCGGGCCTGGTCCTCCTCCTCCCCTCCCCCCATCCGCCTCCTCCTCCCTCCGACGCCTCGCGCTTCCTCCTCCTCCTCCGCCTCCTCCTCCTCCTCCGCCTCCTCCTCGCTGCCCTCCTCCTCCGCCTCCTCCTCCGCCGCCTCCGCCTCCTCCTCATCCCTCCTCCTCATTCCTCCCCCTCGTCCCCTGCCGCCTCCGTCCTCCTCCTCCTCCTCCTCCTCTTCCATCTCCTCTTCCTCCTCCTCCTGCTCCTTCTGCTCCTCCTCGTCCCCCTCCTCGTCCTCCTCCTCCTTCTCCTCCACCTCCTCTGCCTTATCCTCCCCCTCCACTCCTGGCTCCTCCGCCTCCTCCTCCAAACCATCCTCCTGGTCCTCGCCGCCCGCAGACATGGCGGTCTTGGCGGATCTTCGGGAGCGTCCCACAACCCGCCTGTTTCTGGGGCCCGCTGCAGTCCGAAGCAGGCCTCCTGTTGAAGCCGCTCCGAGGGTTGTGGCCTAGGCAGAGGCCGGTGGCGCCACGGCGCACATGCCGCTTCCTCCTCCTCCTCCTCCTCCTCCTCCTCCTCCTCCTCCCCCTCCTCTTCCAAACATGTGATACATCTCCTCGCCTGTACAATTCCAATTCCTCATGCAAGTTACCTTCGCACGCTCACTCGTCTTCCTTCATCTCGAACTCCATGTCAAACGCGAGCTCTAGATGCTGATCCTCCTCCAGATACCAACTCCTCCCTCATCCAATCCCAACTCCATCTCCACGCACAAGCTCAAGTCCAACTTTATCATCGTCGTATTTTCCCTCATCCTGATCCTCCTCGTAATCCTCATCATCACAACCGCCAGCACCATTCACCACCACCACCATCATGAGTGGGAGGTGGGTCAATCAGCATTAGCAGCAGCTGCCAATCAGCAGCAGCAGCATCGTCTCATCATCGGTCAAGCTTCATCAGCAGCTTCAGCAGCAGCAGCAATCAAATCAGCAACTCAGCATCATCATCAGCATCATCATCATCATCATCATCAGCTCCAGCATCAGCATCAGCAGCACAGCAGCATCAGCATCAGCATCATCATCATCATCATCATCATCATCATCATCATCATAATCATCATGGTCATGACCATCAGCATCATAATCAGCATCATCACCAGTAGCATCATCGTCAACATCACCACCAGCACCACCATCATCATCATCATCATAATCGTCATCATCATCAGCATCATCACTATCATCATCATCATCATCATCATCATCATCATCATCATCATCATCATCATCATCACCATCACCATCACCATCACCATCACCATCACCATCACCATCATCATCATCATCATCATCATAATCATCATAATCGTCAACATCATCATCAGCAACAGCATCATCATCATCATCATCAGCAGCAGCAGCAGCATCAGCATCAGCATCATCAGCAGCAGCATCGCCATGACAATCACAATCACCATCACCATCACCATCACCATCCTCCTCCTCCTCCTCCCTCCCTCCTCCCCCCCCCTTCTCCTCAACCTCCCGTCCTCCTCCTACCTCCCACTCCGACCCGTCCCTTTCTCATCTCGTAGCAGGGCGAGTTGAGACAACGGAAGCTCAGAATCAGCCCCCGGACCCCTCCCAAAGTCCCAACGCACTAGTTCTCCGAGCTGCGTCCAGCCGTGGCGACGAGGGCCCCCCCCAAGACCAACACCCGTCGTCTCAACTGCCCCTCCTCTGCGATCTGCCCTCCTCCTGGATCCCACTCCTACTCCTCCCCCTCCCGCCCCCCTCCCCACTCCCGTCTCGCCGAGCGGGGGCCGAGCCCGGGGCGTTGTCGTAGACCGAGGAGGACGACGAGGCCATCGCGGGGCCGCGCGGGGGGCGCGGGGCTCCCAGGCCACCCCGCCCTCCCCAGGCGGGCTGGCGCGACCCGAAGGGAAGGATCAGTCGGGCACGCGCAGAGGGGGGACGCGCTTCTCGGAAGCACGCCTGCTTCTTCGGAGGCGCCGACCTTACATCGGGAAGGCCCGCGCCTTCTAAGGAAAGCAAGGGTGAACCTAAGAAGCCTTGCCGCCTCCCCCTACCCCCTTCTGCGAGTGGCCGACAGGGTCAGTCGGCATCGATCCGGGAAATCGTGAAGGGAAATAAAACGAGGACATGACCAAGACTGAACAAAGAAACGTCGGTGTCGATCTTGGCTACCGTCAATTTGGGTCTTCGTCAAATCGTAGATCATCCTCGTGAATCGGCGACGGCCGGTATGGACCATGACGAAGATCGGCATCCCTCCAAAAACGAGACATATTGGTCATGGTAATCGTGTTTCTTCCCTCGCCGTCTGGTCGAAACGGAATGTGCGTCGGATCGGGCTTCACCGACACTTAGGCGAAACATAGGTCGGACTGGGCTGCGTGAGGATGCCCGAGAGCACCACGCACGCATCGTGCCACGTCGGATTCTCGGAATATCATGCCATGAAAGGGGGTCCTGGAATCCAGGGCTGTCCCCCGGGACCAGCTTTTCGTCCTGGCCAGTGTCTTGGCAGTCCCAGGGCCCGTGGATGGCCCCAGGATCCCGAGAGCGGCGAAAAACCTCAGGACGCATCCCCCCGAGGACTCTTGCTTCATGGAAAAGACGGTCGAAATATCGGCCTCGAATCGGACCAGGCCGGCCAGAATCGACGTCGACTCAAGCCGACCGCATCGAAATACCCCGAGCGGAGGCGCACGAACGCGCACATAGAGGCGAGCAGCCCAGATGGCCTCAGCAGCAGGCGTGTAGCTTCTCCGCCCACCGCCGTCCTCGAGACCAGGCTTGTCCCTCCTCGTCCTGCTGGGGCCCGCCGCTCCTCCTCATGGGGGGCAACGATAGGGGGGGGGGGGGGGGCTGGCATGAGGGGGGGATACATCGGCGTGAAACTGGCGATGCATCGCCGATGGATCGGCGATAGGCCTCCGATCGTGAATCCGCACCTTCCTGGGCAGGTTGGGATTTTCGGGTCCCTATCGGCGATCAGTGGGCGATTCAGGGTCGATGCATCCCCCCTATGCCTATCCCCCACTATGGTTGCCCCTGATCCTCCTGCTCCCCTCGCTCCCGTCGATCCCCGGCATTCTCCACCTCATCAGCCTCCTCCTCCTCCTCCTCCTCCTCCTCCTCCTCCTCCTCCTCCACAACTACACAATATGAATACTACTCTCCTCTCTCCCCTGATGACATCCAGAAAATGTTCGCACCCCCTCCGCGTACTATTCTCTTACACACAAGATTCCCGGGAATTGGGTTGTCGCTTGGTTTTGTTTCCAAAATGTCGCTCCCGCTCAAGCGCTGGCCTGATTTTCGGGCTTCCGCTCGTTCCGAATCGTGCTCCCGCTGCAACGCTGGCCTCATTTCCGCGCTTCCGATCGTTCCGAATCGTGCTCCCGCTGCAGCGCTGGCCTCGCGCTTCCGCTCGTTCCGAATCGTGCTCCCGCTGCATCGGTGGCGTCATTATTTCCTGTGCCATGCCGCAGCATGCAATGCAATGCTATGTGGTGTTATGCTGTGCGATGCCATGCCTTCAACTGCACTGCTAGGATATGAAGTGCTTGACTACGCAGAGCCACGCCATGCTATGCCATGCTACGGTTTGATCTTCAACGACGAGCTATGCCATGTTCGGTTATGTGCAGCTGTGCGATGCCATTATTTGCGTTGCAATGCTTTGTGATGAAATTCTTCACTACGCAACGCCACGCCATGCCATGACATACTACGCTCTGCCGTGCTCGTCTACGCCCTGCTATGCCGTGCTCGACGACGCATCGCGCACCCTCTCGGGATCTTTGCCCTGCTCGACATCCGACTGTGCGAATAGAGAGGAGATCTACGTCATGGTAAGGAATGGGAGGGAGGGGTAGGACGTCAGATATGACGCGATCGCACCTAGCTTGCCCTCCTCCTCCCCTCCTCCTCCTCCTCCTCCTCCTCCTCCTCGCCAAGTGTCTTCTTCCAGTGTTCACGGCAAGCATCCTCTTTTTCCGTCTCACCTTTTCCCTCCTCCTCTACCTCCCTCTCCTCCTCCTCCTCCTCCTCCTCCTCCTCCTCCTCCTCCTCCTCCTCCTCCTCCTCCTCCTCCTCGCCAAGTGTCTTCTCCCAGTGTCCACAGCAAGCATCCTCGTTTTCCCTCTCACCTTTGTCCTCCTCCTCTTCCTCCTCATCCTCCTTGTCATGGACGCCCTCGCCTCGAGAGAGAGATCAAGGACAAGAGCCCCTGATGTCTGAGACGGCGGTGAGGTGGGTGGTGAACCAACCACGCACGGCGCAGATCGTGCTTGCGTAGTGGGCCCTTGGGTAGTGGGCCCTTGGGGGCCCTTGGTCATACAGTCAACCTGTGCAGTAAGTATGCGCGATAAGGATGCAAGGACCTTGGACGCCCAATTCGAAGCTCTTCGAGCGGGGCGCGGCCAACGAACGTGGCAAAGGATGGACCGAGGGGGCAAGGATGCAAGGGCACCCTTGGGAAGGCTGCCCACTCTTCTTATGCGGGTTGACTGTACCTGGTATGGTCTGGGTAGTGGGCCCTGGGGGCCTGGCTGGGCCTGTTGGCCCTCCCGGGGTGGCCCAAAACTGGCTCTAAAGCCCCCTCGCTTGTCGGGACTTTATTGTGATTGTTTATGTGTTCCCCGGGGGCCCCTTGGGGTCCTTTTGGCGCTCTCCTGGTGGGGGACTGGTCTGGTCTGCTGGGCACATCGGATCCTGGCGTTAGAGTCTGGCCCCGTTCGGGATTCCCCTACTCGGCCCATTGGGGTTCGGCGTCGGCCCTTGGGGCATCCTTCTTTGGCGCGTCGCTTGTTGCGCGCTTGGATTCCCCTCCCTCCGCGTTCGGCCCCGCGCATCGAATGACCGCTGGAACGGTTCGTATCACCAGAGCCCTCAGACCACCCCTCTCCCTCCTCCTCCTCCTCCTCCTCCTCCTCCTCCTCGTCCTCCTCCTCCTCTTCATCCCACTCCTCCTCCTCCTCCTCCTCCTCCTCCTCCTCCTCCTCCTCCTCCTCCTCCTCCTCCTCTACCTCCATCTCGTCCTCATCCTCCAACTCCTCCACCTCATCCTCCTAATACTCTTACGCTTCCTCCTCCTCCTTTCCTCCTTCTCCGTTGCCATTCTGGCTCAAATCCGTAGTGCTGGCTCTGCGGAGGAAAGTTTTCTGGCAGGGTAAAGCGGCGGCCCCACATGCTTTCATACTCGGTTAAGTTTTGTTTTGTTTTTTCATCGCAAATATTTGTGGAGAAGAAGGCGGGGCCTGAGGGAGGGGACGATCGCGCCAAGTCATCACGTTCACGATTGCCCACTGCTCAGTCCAATCGGCTACGTCCCTGAGTCGACACCCTCTGGCCTGATACTGACAGCGACTGGAGTATGAGAGGAAACGTAGGAACTGAGACCGGACAGTGGCGCTGTGTGTGTGTGCGCATCAATCCCAATATGGTCCCATCGACTACTTATACAACGAGGCCTCGCACAACGACACAAAGAAGGACAATTCACAGTGCAAACTAAGTCAAAGCCAGTGCGGCGAGGTGGATGATAGAATACATCCCCAGATCGGGCACGCTGAACTGCAACTTGCGTGCGGGAGCGCCTCAATGGAGTGGGACAGCAGGGCTAACCGTTAAACCGTTGCCCCCAGCCGCAACTGAGCGACTCAATAATGGACGAGGCTGTCCACGCGGCCAAGCCGCGTGGAGGCGGCAAGCCAAAGAGGGCAGCGCGAGCGCGCAGCGGCTCCCCAGAGGGAGCGGCCGACAAGACCGGGCGGCACATCCATGGCCCACCCCCGCACGCACCCGGCGCGTGCGCCAATTTTCCGCACGGGAGCGGCCACCCTGGCGCACTTCGTGTCACGACCCTGGGAGAAGAGGACACGAGAGGGGACGGAGGGCGAATGTCACGAAGGCAACTGGGGTTCGAGTCCAGGAAGCCCTTGCGAGGGCGGCTGCCGAGAAGCTGCCTAGAAAGACGGGCTCCCACAAAAAGCTGCACTCACCGGCGGTTCGGTGGGGCGAGCAGGGGGCGCCGAGACCTGCATCTACTGGCTGACGAGCGGTCTTGGCTCGAGGCAAAAACCATGTGCCTGCCGCTGCTGCTGCCGCACAGGGGCCTCCACAGCCGCCCACGGACCTGCCGGCTGGGACCCACAGGTCGGCCCCACGATCCGGAGGGAAAGGGGAGGGCGAGGAGGCTGGAGGAGAGGAAGGGAGGGGGCGGCTGCACGTTTTACTCGAGCGTTCGGGGCCTCCACAGCCGGCCACGGACTTGCCGGCTGGGATCCACAGATCCGCGCCACGATTCGGAGGGATGAGGAGGGCGAGAAGGCCGAGGAGGGGAGGAAACTACACAAGTTGGCGGCGAAGTGTGAGACGGAGTGCGTCCTGACAGGCGCTGGCTCTGTGGGCAGGGTGGTGGCGCCGCCAACAGTGCCTGAGATATACGCTTGCTGCGAGCAGAGCCCGGCGGCGGAACTCTGACGCCGTTCCAGAGGAATGCGGCGGCTCCAGGAGCAGAAAGCCTGCCAGCTGCGCAACTGGCGTGTCCGGCCGCGGCAGCCCCAGCTGTGAGGCCCCGACGGCTGCGACCCGCGGGCACGCTGCGTTGTGATCCAGAGAATCCTCCGCGTCTGCGCATCCGAAGGAGCAGTGGGCGCGCCGCTAGAACCGCCGCGCGGTGACCCACCCATTCCATAGTGAGCGCATGCAAACGGATAGCGCCCTCGACGGCACGGCGCCCGCGACCGCTGCGTAGGTCAAGAGAGCCCGATTCATTTGTTTTTCAGATCCGACCTCTGAACAGCAACGCTCTCACACAAATGCTGAAACAAAAAATTGTCGTCAACGCGCAGGACAGGCCAAACAGCCGCCGAAAAACGAGGCTCAACTGGGGACCGCGCCAAAAA